TTGTGAGCTTCAGTCCACTGTTCAGGATCCTTCAGGGTGAGAGGACTAACGGTGCTTTGGTGGGAAGATTTACTCATTCTGGGATTTCTTGAGTAGATTTTTGATCTAAATCCTGACCTGCTTTGACAGCAGCTTTTGTGATCTCTGGACAAGCTCCTGTCGTTCAGGAATTGCACCTTTGACTGTGGGAACTGCTCTGCGGGGCAGGGAAGTCCGAGGGGTCCGGGGATAGAGCAGGAGCCATTTCCCTGGAAGCTCCACAAATAAACCCTGCAGTACTCTGAAAACCCGTGGAAGGGGGAAGACTGATAGTTCCTTTCTTCTTTAGCCCAAGAAACGTGGAAGGGAGTGTTACCTCAAACCCTAACAGCTCTGGGATTCTGTTATCCTCTTCCCTTTTGGGAAGAAAGCAGGTCCTTGGGGGGAAAAAAAGGCATGGAGGGCTAAGTAGTAAATATTTGATTTCTTGCCCCTGTTCTCACGTGGGGCACAAATATCTTTCAACAACACCAGGGCAGTTTTTGAACAGGAAAAGGCAGCAGATTTTTGGTTGCAGAATTGAGCTGATGCACTGATCGTGGTTTCAAGGGGAATGGTCAGCCCTGTCCCTTCATCCCAGAGGATTCACAGCAGGGAATGCCTCCACGTCCCAGCTGTGTTCATCCTTCCCTTTGTTGGGGTGATGGTGGAAAGTTGGCAGAGCTGTGCAATGCCACGTGAAACCTCCCTGCTGCCAAGCTTTGTGGGAAATGTGGACTCCTGGAATGCCCTGAGTGTGGTCTAGGATGGAAATGTGGATTTATGGAATGGCCTGGTCTGGGATAGAAATGTGGATTTATGGAATGCCCTGAGTGTGGTCTGGGATGGGAAGGAACCTGGAGTGGTTGATGGTTTCCCAGTGAATTGTTTCAGCTCAGATCCATTTTCATGGATTCCCTGCAAGGCTCAGCTGGGTTCAGGGAGAGGGATGCAGGTCCAGGGAAACTTGGAGGTTTTCAAAGTCGAGGCATGTTCTAAAAATATGACTGTTTATTTATCTTATAAATAGCAGGAGGGAGAAAAGATTTGGGAAGGACTTCACCTTCCCTTCCCAGTTTCTACCAACTTCAGTTATTGTTCCAAAACGTGCAAATTTAGAGTGCCAACAGCCACTGAATATCTCATGTCAGTGTAGGGGATCTGTTGCTGGGATTTTAATACTGAAATATTAACCTCATTTTTAAGTTTCTCCAACCAGCTGGGGTCAGGTTGAGGTGCATTTCTTCATGTGATTTCTCTTTGCTTTATCCTCTTTCATCATGAAAAAGATTCACAAATATTTGGCATCTTGTTCCTGTTCTTTTCAGTTTGGGTTTGTTTGGATTTTTTTATTTCCCCCCTCCTTGGAATCCTCTCTTGAAGGTTCAGTCTCTGTAACATCCTGGTCGAACACTTTCTATACTAAAACCTTCAGTCCTATAATCTATGTAACCCAAATAATTTGGTGAGTGAGGGGACAGTTCCTCCTCTCTCCAGAAACACAGAGAGAGAAGAAATGAATTTTTATTTCAAACCAATAATTCCTTTAATCCTGCTCTTCCAGCACAGTCTTTTTGACTCGTGGCTGGTTTACACACCATACAGCTACTGCCTTGTGCTGCCCCTGACCCCATATCAACCTGTCAGGGGCAAAAAATAGACCTGAAAACAAGACATGGAGGTGATTTAATCGCAGCGTTTTGATGGTGTTGCCTCCAAGATTATTATTTGTTATGATCTAATGCTTTCTATTAATACTTTGAGAAAGGGGATAAGCAGCCCTGAGGCAAAGAGTGGAATTCAGCTTTTATCCTCTCCTAAAAACCCTTTTCCTTCACGAGCCAAGGCCCAATCCCTGACAAGGCTTGGCTTGATCCAGAAGAAAAAAGACTGGATTAACTTCCAGCTGTGAAGGGAGGGCTCAGAGAAACATATACATGTGAATGTAGATTTAATGCAAAGACAATCCCTTGCATTGTCTAACTGCATGGTTTTTTGGCAAATATGCCTTTTTTTGTGGGTAAAAACGCTCCCCACAGTATCTCTGTCCATGAGAGCAGAAGGGGCAGCGAAGCCTCACGGTCGGGAATGGCAGAAAGAACAAGAAGGGACTTACTGATGGTGGGTTAAAAATAGACACAGTGACACAAATATGTGTTTAAATGTCCTTTTTTCAGTGCTGAAATGCTTGTTAAGTCCAGGTGCTGTCTTGGTGTCCTCAGGGGGTTAAATCTGGCAGCTGTGATGGCAGGATGTGGATCCATCGTCGTGCTTGGAGAGGATTCTGTTGGGTCAGATGGACCGACCCAACTCAATATTTAAATGACTCAAGCACAAGGAAACATTTTCTGCTTTCAAAGGGTGGGTGATTGAAATGCAAAGCAGCATCTCCCTCTGCCTGAGTCATCCTGCAGCTTTCTGTCTTAGCTCGGAGCTGCTGAGCACGTGGACGTTTACGGGTGGTGGATGAAGCGCGGCCTGGTGAGTGAATCTGGGTGGGAGCGGCCCTGTTCTGCCCTACAGCAGAGCTTTCCTAATGCCTTGGAGATGTCTGTCCACCAGAAGGCCATTCCCTGTTCTCAGAGCAAAGTCAAAGGCTGGACTTGATGATGCTGGAGGTCTTTTCCAGCCTGAATGGTTTTAGACACGTGTGAAGACACCTGTGCGTGTCCACCACATTTTTCACTATAAATGCCACTTGTGGACTTGAGGAGAAACCACAGGAAATGTAGTGGGGTTTGGGTTTGGTTGGGTGGCTTTTCCAGTTCTTAAAGAGGAATGGAGCTTGTAGTGATAGTTTTGTCACAGCTCTTCCCTGAAATCTGGAGTTGAAGGAGCAAAGACCTGGAAGATTTTCCGGCAGCCTCAAGTGACCCAAGAGCGCCTTCTCCCCTCTTGGTGTCCAGATGGCAGAACAAAAATCTTCTGTTCATCCCAACTTTTCATCTCCTTCATAATGCTGCTGGTTCTTGAAGCCCATCTGTAATTTTGGGGGGTTGTTCCATGCTCTTTTCCAGCCTGGGACTGAAGATCTGCCGTGTCTCACACCAAGACCAGCTGCGTTTCAGGGGCAGAAAAAGAGGTGCTGGCACCCTGCATGTAATTTTGGCCCTGTTCAGTGGCTTCCTAAATAAGATTTATCAACCAGCAATGTAAAACAGGCTGAAGGTGATGCTCCAATAACTGAGGGATAAATTTATTGCAGGAACTTCCATGGCTGGAGCTGGAAATGGCGATAATGAATTCCATGTTCAAGAAGAAAAAGGGGCTCTTTGCTCCATGGAGGTTTGTTTCGTTGATGAAGATGTCACTTTTTGCATCCAATCAACTGAGAAGCAGCACTTTGGAGAAAAAACTGAGCCTGGGAGTTATTTCTGGAATGCACCCCCAGAGGAGCTGGGTCAGAGAGCAGCAGGTCGAGCTGGCACCGCTCTCGAGAGACTCCACCAACACGTTGTGTTAATTTCTGGACATCTTCAAAAGATGTAAGAAACCTCTAAACAAACAGAAATCAGATAAAAAGGGGAAGGGCTGCCTAGGAAAGCAAAATGTGGAGTAATGGAGAGCCCATGGAGGAAGGGAAGGGTCTGCAGCTCTGGGCAGAGCACGGAATACTTGGCAGTAGGGAATGAGATATGATATTTCATCAGGATATAAATATGAACTTCTGGAAAGAGTTAAGGAAAAAGAAGATGCCTCCCAAGGGCCCCAAACAGTTAGTTATTAATTGAATTATGTGACCTAGTAAATGAAAAGGGATCATTGTTGGTATTGGCTTTGAAATGCCCCTCCTTGAAGAACCAAAGCCAATCCTACCTTGCCAGTCCACTGGGTGACCCACGAGGCCACTTCTCTGATCATCAGCCTGGTTCTGCTCCATCCATCATGTCACTGCTGACCTTCCCAACTCCTCTGTGCACCAGGGTTGCTGCCCTGTCACCCAATCTGTTTATCAAGTACCCTGAGTCTTCCTCACCAGGTGTTTGGTGGATGGCAGGTTGGCCATGAGTCAGCAGTGCCTGGAGCCAGGAGGGACATCCTTGTCCTGGGGACACCACTGAGGGAGGGAGGGGATTGTCCAGCTCTGCTCTGCCCTGGGGGCCTCTCCTGCAATACTGGGGGGACACAAGGGGAGGGAGAGATTGAGCCCTTGGAGAGTGTCCAAAGGAGGGCAGAGAAGATGGGGAATGGCCCAGCCCCCAGGGAATGGCTGGAGCTGTGTCAGGGCAGGCTCAGGGTGGATCTCAGGGAAAGGTTCTTCCCCCAGAGGGTGGTTGGCACTGAACAGGCTCCCCAGGGCAGTGGGCACAGCCCCAAGGCTGCCAGAGCTGCAGGAGGGTTGGGATGATGCTCTGGGGATGGGCCTGTGCAGGGTTGGACTAGATGATCCTTGTGGATCCCTTCCATCTCAGCGTGTTCGGTGATTCTGTGAGTTTGACTGTTCCTTGGGTTCCTGGCAAGTTTTTCCCATGTTCCTGGGTCTGTGTCTTCAGCCACAAAATGTTTTGTAACTGATAACAATATTGGCATGTGATTTGCATCAAGCTGACAAAGCTGAACTTACAGGGTAGAACTAAAGATGTATTGATACTGAAAATTTAGTTCTTGGTGCAGACTCCTTGCTCTGAAGCTCAGGGTTCCTTGAATTGGGACAGCTTTGCTTCAGGTCCAAGACAGGAACGAAATCAATTCAAATTCCTTGATATTATCAACTCTGAAGGAAGCAAACCCCCCTGTTTTATCACGGGAGTGTTCCCTTGGTTTGTCGGGGGGTCCCTTTCGGCAGAGACCTGGAGAAGCCAGGCCGATCTCGGGTGTGCTTGGGTTTCCTCAGGAGCACCGAGGTGCCCAGCTCCCTCTCCATCCCTGCTGCTGACAACAGGTGGCTCCTCTGGGGTCACCGAGTATATTTAGGGCTGAAACCGGAGCGGGCTGGGCCGGATTGGCTGCGGGGGCCACACGTGTTGCTCGGGGAGCGCCGCACCCGCTCGCTCTCTCCCACTGCTGCTCAGGAGGGAAGACTGGAGAGCCTTTGCTCCAAAGGATATTTGCTGGATGTTGCTGGTAAGGACATTTTAATCGTGTTTGACACCTTTTCCGTAGAGCAGGACCTTGAGCTGTTCCCCCAGCCGGGGGTTTTTTGGGGTGCTTGTCACGCCTTGCCCACGGCAGACAAATCTTCTGCCTGGATGACCAGGTGCAGATGGCAGGAGGAGGAGAGCACCTGGAATCGTGGTTGGGAGTATAACTGAGGGTTATACCAGCCACAGTTTTTATGGTTTAAACCCTTCTATGCAATCCCCACTTCTTGGATTTAATCACTCACTTTGGCCTACTTTTTCACCCAACTTGCTGCCCATGAACGGAGTCATTCGTGATTTATTTTAATAGTTAATGATCTGGTTTAACAAATTAACTCTTTGGCAATTTTTCTCAGCTCCCTGGAACTAAAAAGGGACAGTGTTGCATGTTCCTATATTTAACCTGGGTTACTCTCCTTGCCTTGCCTCAGAAGGAATTGCAGTGGGACCAGCTCAGCTCAGCGGGCAGTTGGCAGGATTAGCTTACACGGCAAATATCCCTGGATTTGGGAGCAGCTGTTCCAAAGCCTCATCCCCTCCCAGCACTGGAAACAGGGCTGCGGGCTCCAAGGGACAACTGCAGCAAAATCACTGTGCTAATTCATTTTGGACAGTAATCTGGGCTCTGTCATTCAGCCAGCTCTGTGGAATTCCAGCTTTTCCAGGTCTGAAGAAACAGAGAGAAAAAAGCCACAGGAGCTTAAAAAAAGAATCTTCTCCCAGAGCATCAATATAGGCTAATGCTGGGAGGACAGAAATTGCCTCATTAACCAAAAGTCACTTAAAAGAAATATTTATTATATTTCTCTGCATTAGGCTTTTCCTTATGAATGAACATCACAGAATATACAGATAAAGCTCCCATTCAAACAGGAGCTTGAATAATATAAGGAAATAGAATTGTCAGAGAGAAAAGAAAAATGCTTCATTTAATTCTGTTGTAATAAAAAACCCCAAATCATACTTCAAGAAATCTCTATTTATTTATTTATTTATTTATTTATTTATTTATTTATTTATGTAGGATTCCAGTATTGGTGTTCCAACCATTGGAATGAAGTATTTGTCCAAAATTGTAACTTATATCAGTATATTTGAAACTCAATCCCATGTTTTTCCATTATAGCCAAAGCACTGCCAGATCCTGGCTTTATTTAGGATCTGGCTTGTTACTAACCATGATCCCAGGTGCTTTATGAGCTTGACTTGTCACTTTTCATGGTACTTTCAGTTTGGGCTAATTTTTTGTTTATTCATATTTTTATTTGCTGCGTGACCAGTGAGTGGGGGAGAGACAGAAGAAAACCCTCAGAATGGAGGAAGAGGAATACGAGGAAGTTGTGGAGGTAAGAAGAAAACCTTGAGAGCAGAAATGATTGTTTCCTGCCTTGTGAA